CCTCATTTGTTGTCCCAAAGGCCTCTCCCAATTCTTTTTCCAATCATTATCTTTTGAAGTGTTAATTGTGTCATTATCTTTGCCGTATTTCTCTCCTCTAATTGTTAATTTAGCTAGGTCATCAGCTGCCATCTTTGTGGCAGTCTGTGTCTGTGCCAGCATTTGTACTTTCACGGAGTACTGGTACCGTATCTGTCTCACAATGCTGACAATTAGGGCGTCTAACACCAATAAGAACTTGGCCTAATAGACACTTCTGGATAGGAATATCTGAGCCAGGACCCTTCTACCAGGGGGTCAGCTCACTGCAATTTTTGTCAACATCAACTTTTACTTTCATATGTGACTTAAATGCAAGGACTCAAACTAGGCATGAAATAGTAACATGGGCTTCACTGTACATAAAACCAGAATGTGGAGAGACTTATAGAGAGAGGGCTTCCTTTCAGCCACAGCAAAACCCTCTGCACCCATGCTTGTCATATATTTTTTAAGGTTAACTCACATTACGAGCTACTTCAGGTAGTTATCTGTACCCAGAAGTGTGGTACAAGCCTTCAAGGTTGGAAGTTTCTTATCACTGATTCAGTATTTAGTAACGTCTTAAATTACTGGGATGTTGAGGCAGCAGCTGTTGGCTCCTCAACAATAATCCTCACCCTCCTCCTTTCTTACTACAGAGGGCAAGACAGTCAGATCCCGGCTTTCCCATCTTTTCTTAAATGCAGTGAGACATGTTGACTCGATTTTGAACAATCAGATATAAGAGGAAGTCTATACACACACACACATATATATATTCACACATACACATACGCACACAAACATGTATGTGTATAGATACAGGACATTTTTCCCCTCCTCTGATAAGGAGATAATATGTGTTTCTTTCTCTTGATTCTGGTTACCCCCTTTTGTCTTATCTTTGAATGTGATCTAATGAACATTTGATGCATTAGTAGTCACCCTGAGACCAAAGGAGAAAAGTCTAGGAGAAAAGAAAAAACTTAAGGACCTGCAGATTGTAGTGTGTAAGGACAGAAACAATTAAAATTCTAGCTGATGGTATTGATCCAATGATTGCCTTGTGGCACTACCTTCATCAGCAATCCTTGTTCAATGAACTATTTGTATGGTTTATCTACCGTTAATTGGGTTTTGGATTATTTGCAGGTGAAAGTGTTTTAATGGTACTAATTCATTTGTTCATTCAACACATATTTACCCGGAGCCTACTATGTACCAAGCACTGTGTTAGGGTCCCAGGATATCGCAGTGAACAAAAACTAAGTTCCTATTCTCATGTCATCTACATACAAGTGAGGGTAGGCAAGAGAGAAAATATAAATAGTAAGGCTATGATAATGCTATGAAGAAAAAAGCATGATAGAGGGATGGAATGTGTTATATTCATAGAGGAGTTTGTCAAAGTTTCTGATGCTTTGAGCAGGTACCAGAAGGAAATAAGGGAGCAAGCAGGAGGAGTACTGAGACTCTTTTCCTTAGAGGTCAGCAGCCTCTAAGGTGATTCCCATGGCCTCCAGCTCCTTCTCCATGCCCCATGTAAGACTGAAATGGGGACTACAGAATGACTGTACTTCCAACTTAGAGAAGCAAGGTGTCATTTGTGAGGGAGCCCTGTGGAGGAGCCCGAGTGATAAGGGACCTATACCTGCCAACAACTATTTGAGTGACCCTGAAAACGGATGCCTCCCCCACCCCCCAGTTGAGCCTTCAGATAAAACCATAGCCCCTTTTCATAGCTTGAGCAGGCTCTCCCAAGAATCCCTGAGCCAAAGGCAGCCAGTTAAGTCATCCCACTGATTCCAACCACAAAAACTACAATAAATGTTTGTTGTCTTAAACCACTAGATTTTGGGGTTGTTATTTTACAATAGATAACCATCTGGGAGAAGAGCATTCCAGGCAGAGGTTATAAGCAAATGCACAGCCCTCAGGGCAAGAATGTGCTAGATGAATTTAAGGAACAGCAAAGTGGCTGATGCAGAGTGAGCCAGGGGTAGAAGCAGAGGCCAGTGTCGGTGGAATGGGCAGGGTAGGGTAGGGTATGAAAGCAGGGAAAGCTGAAAACTACTATAGTTGTCTAGAACTTTCTCAACAGGGTCCCTTATAGTACACATTAAGGCATAAGTTATTAACAAATCTTTTTCTGATGTCTCTGTGATGTTTGTTTGTTAAGCCATGTTGATCTCTTAACAGGTTGAATTTCATTCAATTTTTTGCACTGACATGGTCTGGCTTGGAAAATGAGACAAAGGTTAAATAATGGTCAATGGATAATAAAAGTTACCTATCAAGGTATGCAGAAGACCACCAAAGTAACCCAGAAGATCTCAGCAGGATTAAATTCTACTCAACTGAGAGGAGGGCCTGTTATGTTCATTGGGTATAACTGCTGTCAGAGTTTAGCTACCAAGATAGGAAGACAACGGACTATGGAGAAAACAGCATAAAGCAGAGCAACATTACCTGCCTTCTTTCCCAGCCTAAGCCAAGACTTCTGTGTATCCATCCCTTCCTTATTCAATCCTTAAATCCTTATGGTGTAAGCAAATTTCAAAGTATCACTTGACTGGAGTATTTGGTAAATAGCCTCCTTGCTGGTAGAAAAAACTGTCCCCAAAGAAAGAATCTTAGAAACATCATTTAAGATACCTAGTTGGGTTGCAGAGATAGCATAGGTAAGTGCTTTACAGGATTGAGGAGTTAAGATACAGTTGAGCTTTAAGAAAATCACTCAGCTTTAAGAAAATCACTTTTTTTTTAAGAAAATCACTCAGCTTTAAGAAAATCACGCAGCTGTTGAGCGCTGGGTTGCGAAGCTGCCCGCAGCTTCTGCAGCGCCAGTTCGATCCCCGGCTGCTCCACAGCCACCGGAGGAGGGACCCGCATGGCGCGCAGACCTCTCCTGCCGCCCGCTGCTCCCCTCAGCAGTGTACTTCAGTCCTTCTGCCTGCTCTGCTCCCCGCTCTGGCTCTGGTGAATTCTCTTACCCTCCGCCCTTCTGACTGTACCCAGTGCTTGTATAAATAAATAAATAAATATTAAAAAAAAAAAAAAAAGAAAATCTCTCTAAAAGGAGGCGCAAATAGATACTGTAGAAGCAGCAAAATTAAACCTTCCAGTCACAGATTCCCTTGCGGCAAGGGATGAAGATTCACAAAGACCAGTTTTTTCAATCCAGGCTGTATTACTTTTTAGCACTCAATGAAACCAGAGATCTCAATTTCCTATTTTTTTTCTCACAAGTCACCCAGTGGTTGCAAATTCATCTTCAACAATTAGATCTGGAATTGTAGCGTTCAGTTTGGAAAGCAATCCCAGACAAAAGACAACATATTTTCAAGAAAGAGCACGGCATTTTCCTACCAATTACCGATAAATACCGAACTGAATTCTTAAGGAAATTAAATTGTCCGGGGACAACATTGTTTACCCTGCTCAGCGACCAATGAAGATGGGTCTATTTTTATCCTTTCACAAAACCTCAGTGCCATAAAGGAAACGCTGGTACTTAACAAATCCATTAAGGAATAAAACATAGTTGCTGCTGGTAAAATAAAAGTGACAAGCACATTTCTTCCGCAGAAGTTCTGAATTGAGTCTGTTCTCTCTCTAGCCTGACTGGAGGATCCTCGGAAAGAGGCGTTGGGACCCCGGAAGGTGTGGCTGCGGGAGCTCGGGGGTGCGGTGGGGGGGCAGTCCCTCCCGCTACACCCCACGCCCAGGGTTGGAGGGAGTAGCGCGCACAGGGTATGGTATTCGCATAGGGTACGGTATTCGGAGACCCTTTTCCTTGCTGGCTCTGACTTTTTTTTTTTTTTTTAATCCAACGCGACCATAGGCCTTTTAATCCAAGGACCAGGGTCCTTGGAAACTTTTTTGCGAACTGCAAAGGACTTTGGCACCAGCATGTCACCAGCGAGGGAATGCAGGTGCAGAGAGGAGTAAGGACTCGCCCAAACTCATAAACTACTGCAGAGCTAGCATTCAAACCCGGGTCGGTCAGGCGGTAAAAGCGCTCGCTAACCGCTCAGTTTTCTCCAGCGCTCAGGGAGGAGTAGCAGCGTCCACACACCAGCGCTCCCGGAAACTTGCAGGGACCCGACGCCGCCGCACATCGCTTCCCAAAGCGCCGAAGCGGCGCAGGAACCCAATCCTCTTAAGTGGAGCCCAAGAGCCGGGGCTGCAGCCCCAGCCTCAGGAAGCCCCCGAGTCCCCCTGGCCAGGCTCCCCCATCCCGATCCCAGCCCGCGCCGCGGACGCCCCCTCGGCTGGCTCGGCCCGGAGCCGGGCGGGGGAGGGGCCGGCGGGAAGGGGCCGGCGGCGGGCGCGCGCCCCGCCCGACTCACCTGTCACCGGGCAGCACCCGGGCGCCCGCGCAGGGCCGGCGTCGCGCGCCGAGTGGGCAGCGGGCGCCCACCCCTCCCTCTCCAAGGGGCACCCCGCGTGGCCCCAGCCCCGGATCGCGAGCGGGCGGGCCCCCGGCTTCCGCCCCTGCCGCCCGGCCGTCACATGACCACAGGGGCGGTGAACTGGGCGGGGCGTCACGTGACCGCTCGCCGGCGACGGCTGATGACGCAGGAGCCCGCGCTCGCCAGTTTCAGCGACAGGGAAGGGAGTTGAGGAAGGCGTTGGGGTCCGAGTGGGCGAGTCGGGGTGCGATCGGACGGCGCTCGGTCGGCAGCCAGGTGAGGCGCGAGCGGCGGGGCCGCGGGGAGGGCGGCGGGAGGGGGCGCCTCCCCGGAGGGCGCCCCGCGGGTGCCCCGAGCTGGGGTCTGGCGACCAGGTTTCAGGTCCTGGTTCTCTCCACGTCTCAGCCTTGAGGCTGGAGCAGATTGCTCCCCTCCCCTCCCCTCCCCTCCCGTCCCTCCCTCCCTCCCTCCTCTCCCCTCCCGTCCCCTCCCCTCCCTCCTCCTCTCCCCTCCCCGCGTCCTTCAGCCTGAGTGTGTGCGCAAAAGACCCATGCTTGACCCAAATCAGTCTGGTTTGAACTGACTTGGAAGGCAGGGCCTGGGGTAGGTCGTTCAGAGAAAGTGGCTGGACGTCCGTTTTCTTTTCTCTTTTGTCCATGGTTGTGAGCGAAGCGCAGGGCGCCAGTGTTTGGCACCTAGGGGAACCGAGGAGGGGTGGTTTGTGTCATTGTCACTCTCACCCGATCTTTGCCATCACCTGTTTTTTGGTGAGGAGCTGCTGTAAGTTGTGTAGAAGATGTCAGCGCTCTAGTTGAAGTAGTTCCGAGAATGGAGTGGCGGTTGTGATGAGTTTTATACGCGAGAGAGAGTGAGGATGAGGGAGGGAACACGCCAGCAATGGCTTGAGTGGAGAAGTCTTCATAAAGGAAGGTGGAATCTGGCATGTTGAAAAAAGGGGATACAGCTCTGGCCTAATTATACTGTATAGGCCCTGATGGATTTAAAGGGGGGTCAGCACAGAGTCCAGAAGTTGTTTGCTCTGTGCCTACAGAAAGGAGGGATCAGTGCAGAAGTGTATTTATTTTTCGGTTAACTAATAATTGGCTCTGCCCGCAGAGATACTTAGAGACCTGCTATGAGGTCTCAGTGTTGACATCCTAATGCTGGCGGGAGGGTATTAGGAAGTTGGGGAGGGCATATGGGAGGTGCTTAGGGCTTGAGGATGGAGGGTAGTGAGAATGGTGCCTTTAAAAAGGAGGCTCCAGAGAGCTGCCTTGTTCCCACTATCATGTGAAGGAAGACAGAGCAAGAACACTGGCGGTGATCCACAGGAAGAGGGACGTTGTCAGAAAGTGACCATGCTGGTGCCTTAATCTTGAACTCCCCAACCTCCAGAAACTGTGAGAAATAAGCTTCTGTTATTTCCAAGCTACTCAGTCTGGGGTATTTTGTTACAGCAACCCCAACGGACTAAGATAAAGCCAGTCAGGAGAAGCAAAATGACACGCTGGGGAAAAGCTCAGGAAATGCATAATGTTTTAAACTTTCTTGGAGACCATTGGTCCAGGGAACAGAAAAAAATCATTGTTACTTGGTATGGCTCTAGAGGATCCTGATAGAAGCCATGGTTTCAACCACCGCACCAGTGACATTTTGGGACAAATAATTCTTCACTGTGGGTGCTATCTTGTGAATTATGTACTTAGCTGTGCTTCATGGCAGAAACAGGATAAAGTGTGCACACTCCATCTCCATCCATTCTCCTTACTTCTTAGTCTGGGGTTCCTCCAGAATCCAAGAAGGACATTTCCCTCACCTCTCTGCAAAGGTAAAATTTCAGTGGAGTAATGTGAATTTTGCTTTCAAAGGATAAGGATAACCATCAAGTGGTAGTTTTGTTTATCCTGGATTGCAGTCATCATTATATACATTGTATCTTAGTTTGGGCTGCTATTAAAAAAGATCATGGACTAGGGCCTCCCCGGTGGCCCAGGGGTTGAGCGCAGGGTTGCGAAGCAGCCTCCGCGGCGTGGGTTCCAGCCCTGTCCACCGGGTGAGGGTCCCACATGCGTGCAGTCTTCTCCTGCCGCCTGCTGCTCCCCTCAGCAGTGTACTTCATCAGTCTGCCTGTTCTGCTCTCCCCTCTGGATCTGGTGGATTCTCTCACCCTCCCGCGCTTCTGACTGTACCCAGTGCTTGTGTAAATAAATAAATAAATCTTTAAAAAAAAAAAAAAAGATCATGGACTAGTAACCCAAACAACAGAAATTAATTTCTCAACAGTTTCGGAGACTGAAGTTGGAGATCAGCTGCTGGTGTGATTGAACGCTGATGAGGGCTCGCTTTCTGGTTTGCAGAAGGCAGTCTTCTTGCTGTGGCCACACATGGTGGAGAGAGTGAGGGAGCCCCGCTGTCCCTTCCTATCCTAGTAAGGAAACTCACCCCACCATGAGGGCGCCACCCCCTAATCTAATCTAAACCTGTTTCCCAAAGGCCCTTCACCAGTTATCATCTCACTGGGGTTTAAACATATGAATTAAGGGAGGGGGACACACAGTTATCTCAGCATTTTCCATACTTGTTGGATCCTAGGAATTATTTGGAGGGCTTCAAAATAATAGTTTCCTCAGAGCATCTGCTAGAGATGGATTCTGTAGGTCTGAAATGAATATCCATAAATCTGTATTTTTAGTAAGTATTTTCAAAGATTCTGGAGAGCAGACCAGTTTGAGAAAGCTACAAAATGCAATTTATCCTTACAATAGTGCTGTAAGAGAAATATGATTCTTTCCTTTTTACATGGGAACAGATTGAATGAAGACTGAGAGATTAGCAAAGAAGTTTATCAAGGGCCATACCTTTTTTAAGAGTGAATAGGATGGTGTCTGCAGGCATCTGGACAATGTCCATGTCTGTAGTACTATTCTAGAATGCTGCTCACAATGTGATAATGATGTAGTTGATGGTAATATTTCCTCTCATTTTCAAAACTGTATGTGCTAAACATTATTCTGAGTGTTTTATTAAATCTTTTAATCTTTTCAGTAATACTTGAGGTAGCACTGGGTATCCTCATTTTAAAGAAGGGAGAAGTGACCCTTGAGAGGTTGAATAATTTGCCTAAAATCATTGTTATTTAAGTGACACAATCGAGACTTTGATCTCATGTAGTCCTATTTATATTGTGATGTTGCCACCCTTATTTGCCTCCTGTTTCAAATTACAGTGCACTTGAAAATTATGCCTGTAAGAATGGAGCTGTCCTCTGCTGTAGTCACTAGGCATATATAGCTATTTAAATTTAAATTGATTAAATACAATTTAAAATTCAATTCCTCAATTACACCAACCACATCAGTGGTCACACTCTTTTGATTAGCAGTAATCACAACCAGTACTGTTATTCTTCACAATCATTACCGATCAATAGTCCTACAGGCCTAGTGGCTACTGTTTTGCACAGTGTAGTTTAGAGAACATTTCATGGTAGAAAGTTCTATTGGACAGTGCTGCTCTAGATAATTTAGACTTCCGCTAAAATCAAGATTGACTAGAAAACTGAATACTTGAGCCATATCATTTGATTCTTATAGGATAGTTGGTGTTAAAACAAATACACCCCCAAATCTAAATGGTTTTTCACATTCAAATTTTCAATTCTTTCAAGCATGGAGCATGATGTCTGGGTAGTTTTCCTCCGAACATTGATGTAGGATCCTATGCTCCTTCCCTGTAATGATTCTCTCTCTTTAGTTTATGCCTTCTAAGGTCACTGCTTGTCTGTTTCAAGCTGTCCAATGGGAACACATATGGAGCTACTGTGTGGTTTTTATGAGCCGTGCCTGGAAATGGGTCCTGTTTCCTTGCATTGAATTCACCCCTGTGGCCAGACCTGACTGCGAGGTTGTCTTAGTGTCTTGCTGAGAGTAAAGAGGAAATGGGTTTGCTGGACACTGAGCTGCATTTGCCACAAGTGTCCTATCCTGCACTTACCCTGAGGAATAATCTAAGCAGCTGTCCTAGGAGGCTACCCTGTGCATGTACCTAGGGTAGCACTGAGGCTGTTTTCCTGTATGGCTCCTGCTGGCTGGTACATGATGCTCTATGCAGCCTTGATCGCCATGGAAACCTTATTTTCCCAAGTTCTTGGTGTCTTTTATCTTGGGGAGAAAGAATTCTGTTAACTTTCACTTTTGTTTTGCATTTCTGAAGCTCATCGCCAAATGTGTATTTATAAGTATAATAATGGTGTATGGTGTAGAATACTAGCAAACCCTAAAGACTGCATGATTGTATTCTAATTTTCTCATCTGCTTGGTTTACCCCTTAATCTCTTTTTTTGATCCTGATTTTTATGAATTTATATTTTTCCCTCTTATGGCATATGTTTGTATTTATTTTGTGTAAGCTATCTCAACTTGTTTGATGTCATAAAGTAAATAAACACTCCTATTTTACTGAAATGCAATCATTCAAATCATTGTCAGAAGTTTTTCATTCATATTTGTAGTCATATTTTCTCTCATTTTCTTGATGTGAAATTATAATACCACAGAAAATCCTAGAAAATAACATGATGAGAACTGATATTCTGTCTCCTGAATTTTAACATCTGTGACAAATTGCCCATTTACTTAAGGTCTCAACTTTTAAGATAATTTTAAAAAATGGATAAAGCTGAAAATCCCATTTGACTACCCTAGACCCAACCAGGCCAAGTCTATCCTGCACTTAAGACCCTGTACATTATGCTCTAAAACATACTAAATAGTTGTTAACTGAATGGCTTGATCTGGAAATGAATTATATCATGTATGTTAGTAGTAGCCTAACACCTCAAACTAGTAACCAGCTTCTTAGACAGCTTCTGTGAGCCTTCTCATTTTGCTCCTTGTGTCTTTTTCATTGAGTCTAGTGATTGACATGGTATGATGGTCAATATCTATTTGTTGAATGAATGAATGAACCCAATTAACAAGGACAAATAATTGAGAAACTATTGTAGTAGTCCAGGTGTGAGAGGAGGGTGGTAACTGTGTCAGACACAGTTCCCCATAAAAGAAAGGACAGGAGGGTAGGTGCTTTTGCTAATAAAAAGTATACTGGGGGCCTCCCCTGGTGGCGCAGCAGTTGAGCGCTGGGCTGAGAAGCTGCCCGCAGCTTCTGCAGCACCGGTTCGATCCCCTGCTGCCGGGCAAAGGTCCCACATGGCACATGGCGAGCACACCTCTCCTGCCTCGCCCGCAGCTCCCCTCAGCAGTATATTTCGTCAGTCTGCCTGTTCTGTTCCCCTCTCTGGCTCTGGTGAATTCTCTCACCCTCCCGTGCTTCTGACTGTACCAGTGCTTGTATAAATCAATCAATCTTTTTTTTTTTTTTTAAAGATTTATTTATTTATTTATTTATACAAGCACTGGGTACAGTCAGAAGCGCAGGAGGGCGAGAGAATTCACCAGAGCCAGAGCGGGGAGCAGAGCAGGCAGACTGACAAAATACACTGCTGAGGGGAGGAGTGGGGGCAGCAGGAGAGGCTTGCGTGCCATGTGGGACCCTAACCCGGTGGCCGGGGATCGAACTGGCACAGCAGAGGCTGCAGGCAGCTTCGCAAACCAGCGCTCAGCCACTGTGCCACCGGGAAGGCCCAATAAATAAATCTTTAAAAAAATAAAATAAAAAAATGAAAGTGTACTGGGCGTAAGACCATGCTGAGATATTCCTTATCTTAAAGATGATAAACTTGAAGTGTGAGATGTTAAGCCATCTGCTCCAGGCCACTCAGCAACAGAGCTTGAATTTATATTATGTTTATACTATTCTAAACCCCCCCCCTTTTTTTTTCTTTGCTACCATTCAGCCTTCCCATCCATCACAGCCTGTGTAAATTCACTTCAGTTTTCTAGTTTCAGAGGATTCAACTTCAGGTGGTTTCTGAATTAAGTCAAGATGTCTTTGTAGGCAGCTTTACTTAAGAGGTCCAAAGCTTAGAGTGAGTGGTTGAAGATATAGATTAGGGAGTGATTAATGTGAAGGTAATAACTGAAACTGTTACAGTGGATGAGCTGCAAGAGGATAAGGGTTTATTGAGAAATCCTGCTTTTATTGAAACAGACTCTAGGATCTTGCCATGTCTCTAAATCTGTTAGAAAAGGACTATCCAAAAAGACTATCAGGAATAAGTATATTTTACAGCATATGTGTCAGAGAAGTTAAATCATGTTTTCAAAGTCCTCTCTTAGGAAACTGTTTTATTGGCACTCTTCATTTTCTTAAGAAACCCACTTTTGCTTTTAAAAACAGCGCTGTTGCTGAGTTCTTCAGAGAATCAAGGCATCTTCTGGAAGAGGCTATTCTCTTTCCTTTAACAACCGAAGACAGTTATCTTCCCCATTTGCTGAGTGTATAGGTGTTGGGTGGCCAGATAATAGCAGGATGCTTTGGTATTTTCTTAAGGGGTATAGATGGTAGATAATAGTGACAGTTATGGGCGATCAGATACATTCATATGGATGTTTGTAGCACTTTTATTCTCCTGTGCAGTTATTATTCTGACTCAAATCTTGTTTCATTGTGTTTGAAAACTTAGGTAATAATTTCAAGATGCCAGGGCGTTCCAGTTCAAATTCAGGTTCAACTGGTTTCATATCATTCAGCGGTGTAGAATCTGCTCTCTCCTCCTTGAGAAACTTCCAGTCCTGTATCAACTCTGGAATGGATACCGCTTCTAGTGTTGCTTTGGATCTTGTGGAAACTCAGAGTAAGTAATAATGAGAACTCACTTGTGTATCTGCTTTGAGGTAATCCTGGGTGGTGCATTGTTCTAGCAGGTTACTGCTCACCTTATAAGGAACCTTGGAACAGTCATTTATTCCCTATAGACATCTGTTTTCTCATCTTGTTCTACATACCACATAGGAATGTACTGAGTATGTAATGAGACTGACTTATTCACGTGCCTTCAAACAGTTCTATGCCACTTGAAACCACACTGGAAATGTATGGACTCAACCACAAAGGTTTCTGACCTCAGGGAGCATACAATCGAGAGTATGTGACATTTGCGAGCTGTACCATATAAAAATGGATTATGAAAATGTTAACCTTCAGTAATCTTTTTTACTACTATTCATTATCATCAACAATCCACAAAGTAAAATTTGTAAACATAATGACCATGATACCCTGATTAAGTAAAGTAATTGCTTTTGTTGTGAAAAGTTGTCAGTATAGAAGTCAACTTCTCTTAAAATTTGTGACTGGCCACATGCATGTTATTATTTTTTACAATTAATAGAAAGTTTGCTTTTATTTTTTTCCACGTTTTTATCCCTTATACCCCTTTGGCTTTTGCTGCTTCTCCCTTCACCTTAGCCTCAGAAATCTCACTTCATTTATTAGTGTCCACTAGTGTTAATGAGTATTTTGCTTTGTTGAATCATCTGCTATGTGAATGTCAGTATTTGTCTTTATCATTCTGTCTTGCTATACTACACATAATTCCCTGAACCATTTTGCTGTAAGTGGTAGCCTTTTCTCTTTCCTTATGGCTGAACAGTATTCCATTTGTGGATATACCACATCATCTTGATCCAGTCCTTTATCAGTGGGCATTTAGATTGTTTCTTACAATAATTTAACTGTATTTTGCTCATGCTTGGTTGTGCAATAGGCAGACTAAGCATATGCTGGGGTTCTGGCAAATGAAGGGCTCTACAAAAATGAGAAAAATTCACTTTGATGTACTTAACCATCATTTTTTGATCAGAAGCTCTAGAAGCACGTTATTTGCTTCCTTTGGATTAGAGTTGTTTTTATTTGACATTATATGGAGGTAGGGGACATGATCTTTTTGTTTTCTTTGTAAATCATAAGCTGTCAACAACTTCATTGTGATATACCTTGGTATGATTTGTTTAATATATCTGGTGTTTGAGTTTTATGGATTTATGAGTTTATAGTTTTGATCAAATTTGGAAAAGTTTATTGTTTTTTGTTTATTGTTTTTGTTTATTGCTTTTTCTATTTCTCTCTTCCCTTCTCCTTCTGGGAATCCAATTACATGTATATTAGACTGCTTCATAATATCCCTTAAGTCACTGAGACTTGGTTGTTTTTTCCCCCAATCTTCCATTGAGATATTTTCTCTGTGACTTCAGTTTGAATAGTTTCTGTTTGTCTCAAGTTTATTAGTCTTATCATCTGGAGTGTTTAATTTGCTGTTAAACCTATTCAGTGAATTTCTAATTTCAAATATTGTGTTTTCAGCTCTTGAAGACATAAAGAATTAAATGGAGTCTTATTCTGTCTTCCCTTTCTCTTTCCATTAGGTTCCTGTCTATATTTTTGAGTTTATGGGACATATTTATAATAGTTGTTTTAATATCTTTGCTTCTAATTCTATTATCTTTGTCTAATGTTGCTTCTTCACAAGGTCATTGAATGCGTTGTATTATTGAGTGTTTGGATTTTGTTGTTTTCCTTTAAAGAGTGTTGACATTTGTTTCGGCAGGCAACCAAGTAATTTGTGGATTAGACTGATCCTTTCTAGGCTTGTAAAACTTTGTTAGGGCAATCTAGTATAGCTATTGGTAGGGCTAATTTAGCCTTGTTACAAAACTTGGCTCTTCTAGAGTCTCTGTTGCTTGCTTAAAGGGTTCAGTGGAACAGTTTGACTCTGCTGGATGGAATTTAAGTGTCTTCCAATCCTGTGTGAATTTGGGGGATTGTTCACTCTGCGTTTCCCAGCAGTTAATCCTGAACACATTAGGTTTCAGCATCAGATTCAAGGAGAACGCTGTGCAGAAGCGTAGAGAGCTTTCTCTGCATCTTTCCCTCCCAGTGCTCTGCCCTAGCCTCCCTGAATTCCAGTGTCTCAATCCTGCAAGACTGCCCTGCTCTGCTTGGAAGAAGGAGGGCAATTGCAGGATTTACATCAGTTGCTTCTTTTTTTGCAGGGATTATAGTTCTTCTCTGCTGTTGTCACACTATATGCAAGCGAGTGTTTCATATATTTGCCCAGCTCTCTAGTTCATGGCAGGGGGGCCAGTTCCATTCCAGTTATTCATTCATGATGGGCATAAAAGTCACTCCTAATCTTCTTAATTGGTGACACTACAGCTCTTACCCCTGCCCACCCTGACCTGTAGTATCATTTTTGGTAAGGATGGATATTTGGCTTTGGTAGGTAACCCTGGATAACAGTCTTACGAAATCTCAAGCAGTGAGCTGGAACATAAATCTTCTGAGGAGGGGTCATGTCAGTTTTTTTCCGTATTTGCATTCAAGGTTCCCCAGTGTTTAAGCTATAGAGTTCTGGGATTATTTGTTTAATTTTTTAAAGTAAGAAATACATTTGGGTACAAACATGGCATGTTCTGTAATTTAAAAAGAAATGTAATGCCATTTCTTGAAAGTTCATGCTCTAAAGCAGGAGGTGGCCAGTTTTCTGTAAGGGACTGGAGAGCTTTGTGGGTCATACAATCTCTGTTGCCACTGCTGTGTGGCAGCTCTGTTGTTGTGGTGCAGTGGCTGTCAGGAGCAATCCCTAATGAATGGGCGTGGCTGTATTTTTTCTCTAAATCTCTCATTTTATCATTAGCAACAAATGCTGTTAGATCTTGTCTCTGAATCCAGCCATGGTTTGCCAGCCTCTTCCTTTAGGCTATAGATAGTTATTAGAGACTTGTTAAAGAAAGAATTATTTATTTAGGTTATTTTTACTTTGTAGCAAATAACTCAACTTTGCATTGTCATAGTTGGCTAAATGAAGGAAAAATTGAGCAAATTATATGAAGAAAAAATGAGCTAAAGAATTTTGATAGTCACCAGGAGCCTGCAGTAATTATGAACTCCATTTGATACACATTTTAACTGTGATCAGGAGTCAGAACAACAAGATAGTCAGCAGATACTTATGCAATAACTGTTCTGTGTATAATTCAGTGCTAGTCTTAAAGAGGACAAGTGTTACGTACTTCTTCCTTTCATAGACTTGACGATCTTAATGGAAAGACTAACACATACTAAAATACCAGGACAATGGGAAAAGATGTGAGGAGGCTGCAAATAAAATAACTACTGATCTCGTCGGAAGTCGTATAAGCTCTCAAACTCACAATGCTGAGCACCTATTTTTCAAAATTCAAATTTTTCTTTCAAGCTCTCATTATATTATTAGCAGCAAATACCATGAAGTGCTGTCTTTGAAGTGACAGTCCCACTTTTTTCATTTTCAAGAAAATGCCTGGCAGTTGCCCAAGTCTAAATAGCCATTAAAAAGTGTGATCCATGATAAAAACAGTCATTTAGTGTACAGCTCAAGCAATTTTACAGGGCTTTTCCTCGAGACAACTGTCATTCTTTGCTAAGCAGCAGAGGTGTTTTATGAATGCTTACTGTTTCATCATACTATATTAAAAAGATGTGTACTCAGTGATTGAGATTTAATAAATTGTACTGCTTCATCAAAGACATTCTTAAGTGGCGGCATTTGTGGTACCATGAGAACATGGAGGAGAAGAATATGATTATTGGTGTCTTTACAGTTGGTACCATCTACTTAAGGCATCAGCAGTTTTCCCAACAATTGATTGCTTTTTTTAAAAAAGATTTATTTATGCATACAAGAGCTGGGGTACAGGCCAGGGGTGTGGGGGCAGTGAGAGAATTCACCAGAGACAGAGTGGGGAACAGAACAGGCGGATTGACTGAAATACACTGCTGAGGGGAGAAGCGGGCGAGTCAGGAGAGGTCTGCTGTGCCATGTAGGTTGCTTCCTGGCCGGGGATCAAACTTGTGCTGCAGGGCCTCCCCGGTGGCGCAGCGGTTGAGCGCTGGGTTGCGAAGCTGCCCGCAGCCTCTGCAGCGCCGGTTTGATCCCCGGCTGCTCCCCGGCCACTGGAGGAGGGTCCCACATGGCCCGCAGACCTCTCCTGCGGCCCGCTGCTCCCCTCAGCAGTGTACTTCGTCAGTTTGCCTGCTCTGCTCCCTGCTCTGGCTCTGGTGAATTCTCTCACCCTCCCGCGCTTCTGACTGTACCCAGTGCATGTATAAACAAAAACCAAACAAACAAACAAATAAATAAATAAATAAACATGCCTCTATAAAAAAAAAAAAAAAAAAAAAAAAGAAAAAAAAAAAGAAACAAACTTGTGCTGCAGAGGCTGTGGATAGCTTCACAGTGCTTATCACACCCCACCAGGGAGGCCCCCAACAATTGCTTTATACTGTTATTACAAATGTTCAACACAGTAGAAAACTCAAACCAACAAACAAAAACTTAATAAAAACAAAAACCAAAGAAACGTTATTACAGTTGCTATGTGAATTGTTTTCCGCTTGTAAACCACTGGCAATGAAATTGGATTGGAATGTTCATGAGCAGGAGTGAGAGAACTTGTTACAGCAGTTTTAATGTGACATCGAATCAAGGACCCAGGGAGTATAAAAATACCTAGTATTTAAGGAAATTTGGAAGAAACTCAGCCTGTAACAAACAGTAAATGAAAAACTTGCAGGAGACAGAGCTGATCTCATTACTTAATTAGAAGGACTTAGAATCTCTCTGTAACTTGCTCGATGATTGGGAGTTTCTGAGGCCGTATCTGTAAAATAGGTTTAACTGTGCACACTTAATTTTAGGGTTGTTAGGAGTTAATAAAACTACTGTTTTTTTAATAGTTATCATAAATAGCCTAAAATTTATAGATTTAAGTAAATTAGTACAATTGTTAGTGCATTATTAAAGGCATACAGGGA